CCTGAGACGTTTGTTATCAACACTTTTCTTTTATGTAGTGTTGAGACTTCCCCCCGAAAGATCCCCGACCGCGGGTTGGGGGGGGGGGGGAATTCTGGAAGTTGAAGTCCACAGATCTGAAAGTGGCCAAGGTTGAGAAATGCTGCTATAATGGTAGGGCCACCTTCTTCCAGAAATCAATCAATCAATCAATCAATCAATCAATCAATCACACACACACAGACCCACAAATTCAGAGACCATGTGCTGCCAGAAACCCAGCAAAAGGGAGCCACCGAGAGATTGAGGGGTGGGATGGGTGGGAAGAATAACCCTGATGTTTGCAGAAATACAGAAAGGACCCAAAGGAGCTAGTTTTCCCTTGCTCCCAACACTTCCTTGAGGACCAAGTTAATCCAGGAGCTGGACGGAGTAAGGAACGAGAGGGATGGAATGAGAGGGTGGATGGAGTAAGGAGTGAGAGGGATGGACTGAGTAAGTAGAGAGAGGTTGGACGGAGTAAGGAGCAAGAGGATGGACCAAGTAAGGTGCGAAAGGGATGGATGGAGTAAAGAGCAAGAGGGATGGACGGAGTAAGGCATGAGAGGGCTAGAACTGAACGCGTTGCAAGATGCCTCTCCCTGCAGAGAAGGGCCCGAACCCCCAGCCAGCTCTGATCCCCCCACCCCTTTTAACGCGACCCCCGTCTTCTCTGTGCTAGTGGGACCTGGTGTGTGACCGGCGGAAACTCCGGGAGATGGCGCAGTCGGTGTACATGGCGGGGGTGCTGATCGGCGCCCTAGTCCTGGGCGGGCTGGCTGATAGGTACGTGGGCCAGCCGCGGGCGGAACGGGCAGGCAGGGGTGGGCGAGGGGCGAACTCCGGCGGTGAAGCCGTAGGACCCCCTCCTGAAAGACACAGACCTAAATGAACCCGTGGAGCACGCTGACTCAATTCAGTTCCAATTCCAGTTCAATGGGAAGGGCAGGATCAAAGCAATTCGTTGGATTTCGGTTTCTGAATGCTGATAACGGAGTTTAATAATCCCCAAAATGCTCTCTCTCGCTGATAAAAGATGGGCTGAAATCCTCTCTTTCAACATTTTCCCCCCAAGCGCGTTCCCCATCCCCTGAACCCCCCCCAGCCCCTTACTTGCTTCCCCCATTCATCGGAGCCCAAAGGCTTGGCACATGGGACTCTGGGGCTGCGTTCACACAACCTGTTGAACCTGGGCATTCTGACCTGATCTTTCTGGGTTTGCACTGAGTCAGAAAAACAACCACCAGCAAGCAAACCCAGGTTAAAATAGCAAAGCTTAGCATGTTTACCTAACCTGGGTTACCCATTATCCGCATTCACACAATGCATTGGACCCAAGACTGACCAAAGGTTTGCAGAACCGGCTAACCATGGTTTGCACAAATCACCCTCCATCTCTGCTAGATCAGTAACTGACCTGGTTCAACGCATTGGGTCTAGAAGGGCTAAACATAAGCAGGGGAACTCAGCTATATAGATTGCCAAATGCAGTTCCACCTTGCACCACCAGGGGCAGGCAGGCAAGCAGAGATTCCGGCATTTTCTTGGGTTTTCTAGCAAGGCGAAAGTTGTCATATTCCTTCCTGTTTTGGAAGGTTTGGTAGCTAAGTTTAGACTTTGTCCGTATCTGTCCTCCCCGATTTTTGAGTGGGTCCTTGCTCATTTGACCCCAATTTCTGCATTAAGGGCACCACTTGGTGATCAAAACCACTTTTCTACCCCACCAAGAAGCTGATAGGTGCAGTCTGGGTGTTGGCCACAAGGGGGCGCTGACTCCTTCTCGCCTCTCAGATGTGATCCAGCCCTGCTGGGAGATTCCCTCCCTTCGGAAGTGGATCAGATCTTTCCAGATGTTGATTAATCACTGCTGGGAAATCAAACAGCCCAAGAATCTTTTCGGGCGAGATTCTGCCCCCAAAAGTTTCGGAATCAGCCACTGAAATTGCAATGGATCAGTGTGCACCCTTTTAAATGGGGCCATTGCTTAATAGTACCCAAAGAGGAAAATTAAAATATGAATTAAAATACGATTGCCCTCATATAGGTGAGTCAACAAAGCTTAGAATCAATTTAATTTAAATATGAGGAAGGTCATATCTGGGGTGTAAGGAAGACGTTATTAACGGAGGACTTCAAGGTCCATATTGCTCTCCACTCTGAGGGTTCTGTAGTTTGTAACCAGAAAATCTGGGAAAACAAATGACAGAGCCATTGTGTTGGGGGGGTGTCAAAAAAGTCAAAATGGCTGCCACAACTGCTCAACCCACATAAAAAAGTTGGTTAATAAGTTCGTTTTGAGTTGCAAGCTGCCCAGAGTGCTGTGAATTGGGAGTCAGGCAGCCTATAATAATAAATAATAAAATTAAATAAATAAAGTTAAATAAAATTAAGAAAAAATAAATAAGGTTTGGAGCTTTGATTATGTAGTCATGGCTGCCATCTTGACTTTTTTGACACACCCATCCCTGTGGTCCCCCCTAATCATCATATATGCCAGTGTTTAGGAATTGCTGGTCCTTCCACTGTCACTGGACTACAAATCCCAGCAGCCCCAGCCACCATACCCAAGGGTGAGGGATGCTGGGAGTTGCAATTTTAGTATCATCTCAGGGCCTTTTCCCCAGTGTAAAACCCAGCGCTCAGCCACTGCTCAGCCTGATAAAAAGGGGTTTTTTTTTTCTGTGAAAGAGGCTTCCGTTTTTCCACTTTGTTCTCAGAATGCTTGAGAATTTCTTCAGGATTTCTCTTATTGGTGCTTTAGAGCTCTCCTGTCCTTAGAGGGGGCAAAGCAAGGAGCTACTGCTGGAATTGCTGGTTTCGGTCACCGGTCTCCTTGGAGACCCACACTTCGATCTGAAAACACCCCCAATTTGAAATTCCTCTCTGATTATTTTCCTTAAAAACGGGGAAGGAAGCTGGAAAGTTTGGCCGAGAAGACTCTGGGGGTCGTTCCCATTCCCAGTTTCCCAAACCCATTGTCTTTCTTCTGACTGAATGAGATGGCTGGGGGGAGGAATGCCAAATAATTATTCTGCCAGGGAATGACACACACAAACACACACCCTTGCCCGGTTTTCTTTTCTGCCTGCAATGCTTGTAAGGGGCAGGAATGGGTCTCTTTGCTTTTCCTCCAGATTCGGCCGAAAAGCTCTGACGATCTGGTCCTTTTTGCAAATGGCCGTGACGGGGACGTGCACAGCATTTTCGCCCAATTATGTCTCCTATTGCATCTTCCGCTTCTTGAACGGCATGGCGCTTTCCGGATTCGGCCTCAGTATTGCCTGTTTGGGTAAGAAACTCACGCTCCAGATCAGTGTTTC